TCCAGGTCTGTTATTCTATCACCCCACCTTCCCGTACAGATCTCCCAGGAAACAATCAAAAAAAATGATTGTAACAGGGATCCGCACATCCTGTGAGAAGCTTCCCTGATTCGCAAATCGGTAAGACACAGCAACACAGCGCGTTTGCGACGAGCGACAGCTTAAGGTCCCCAAAGTAGTTGTCTTTTTCTGGGGGAGAATCCAATGGGAATCCCGTGAAGCCTCTGAACGTAGGGGATGCCTTCTGCGCCCAATATAGGCATTGGTTTTGAGGACAAGTGTAAGAAATATTAGCCTGCGGCTGAGCCAGTTATCCAACAAATGAACTGCACTTAGCTGGAGAATGCATTTTGTACGTCCATGTTCTACAGGCACATACGCATATCCCTCATTGTATGTGTGTACAGTACAAAAACTGACAATAATGTCGATGTGTTTTCTTTCAAGTGAGTGAGGTTCATAGGTTGTCATAGGTTGCAGGTTGTTGTTGGCATGTGCTCCCTTGCCCAACATACCTGGGTATGAGTCAAAACCTTGGTACCCTAGTGAACCCCAAATAACTGGTAAATGGATGTTCATTCCCCTAAAAATTGTATTAATAGGTATTGATCCATACCCACCTCTCAACTAAAGGGCCTGAGACCAGGATGGTAGAAATGGGATGCACGCCTGAGAAGTCCACAGTCGGCTGAGGGTCTTTGACGCTCCACAGTTCAACGATGTAATATGGAGATTGTGGAGTATACAAAATAGAATATTCAGAATATGTAATCTACAACTCAATGTCATTATAATATTATCTATTATCTATCGTATATATGTAGATTTTCTTGCCTTGAGCTTTCGCTGCAAGGTTGCAAGAAATCTACTGTTTTTGCTCTGCTTCAACGGCTTGTAAAATGGCTGGAGATTGTGTGAGACACTCTGCATTCGAACCCCGGAAACCAACATCTTTCAGGAATCGATATGTCTCAATCACAATTGGATCTTGTTGGATTTGGCTCTGGTAATTGCATGTTCCACCATTCTTCTTCCCTGTCGTTTTTTTCCGCTTGAAGCGCCAAGGCACCATCACTGCGCTGCTTCCCGCTCCAGCCTTCAGGGAATGGTGCTGGTTCTGCCAGTGAATTGAGTCAGAAGCGGTGGAACATCAGCGTTTTGCCGTAAAATCGCAGAGTGGTGGTGGCCACCCTAGTAGTTCTTCCACGCTTTGCGTAACAAGTTACGAGAAAATTAGCGTCACAAGCGAACGCCTCGCCGGTTGCAGATTGTTGCCCCACGGCCTGTAGTGCCATCATTGTTCCCACAGACGTGACCATGAACCCGGACACCACCTGCAGCACTGGAGGAAGAAGAAAGAACAAGATTGAATCAAATTGACAAAAGGCATGTACGATGATGCATGCTTCAGGCCAAGATCATGAAACCATACAAAGAAATTCAAAGATTCTCCTCATTACAATGTAGTTGCCCAGAATTGCCCCTATACATACACAAGACAGATTATTCAAATGATATCCAAAAGTCCGAGTCGCCCCAGTCTTTTCCCCAACCTTTCGAGGCGTGCGCACAACGTGTTCAGCAACATCATAAATGTCCAATTCAAGTACCCTCTGGTAATTTAACATAGCTATAGAAAATCACCATTTTTAATAGGTAAACCATCTATAAATGGGCCATTTTCCATAGCTATGTTAGTTTACCAGAGGGTAACTGTAAGTCAAGGCATAGAAAGATCCGCCTTGCGGTTGCCGACATGAAACGATCCGCAGGCGCCTCGCTACTTGACACGCTGGAAAGTGTCGACAACGACTCTGCTCCTAGCATTCCAAGCAGCAGCACCGTGCAAAACATCCTTAGACCCCAATGATCCCATCCATGGCACAGAAATATCATGACACATCCAATAGCAACTACTGCAATAAGAAAAGCTAAATATGGGGATGGGTCAAAACCCTGGTACCTAGTGAACCCCAAAATAGCTGGTAAATGGATGTGCATCCCACTAAAAATGGTATTAATAGGTATTGATCCATCCCCATATAAGTTGCTAAATATGGATGAAAATGCCGGCAACGGTACACGCAGTCTCTGACCCAGACAACTCCTGCAGATCCCGTGTGGCCACGATCAGCCAACTTCACGAAGAGAAAGTCTTCTGACCTGCGAGATCTGGGGAGATGATAGGAGTGCATATAAGATACGACAGTAAATACTACATATATCTCACATACATACATATAATATATTATATTAAACATTATATATTATATAATATATATTTAAAAATGTTATATATAATATATTATATATTATATATTATATACTATATATTAAATATAACATATTATATATATATATATATATATTATATTAAACATTATAGATTAAACATTATAGATTAAACATTATATATTAAACATTATATATTATATATTATATATTGTATATTATATATTATATATTGTATATTGTATATTATATATTAATACATATATATATTATTATATATATATATTATATATTAATGTATATATATTAATGTATATATATTAATGTATATATATATATATTAATGTATATATATTAATGTATATTTATATTATATTATATATCATATATCAATATATATTAGATATTATATAGTATGCATTATATATTAGATATTATAAATATATTACATATTTTATAGATTATGTATTATATTATATATATATATATATATTATATTATATTATATATCATATGTTATATAACAAAAATATATTATAGATACTATGAGGTCCATGTGGATGCTTGTGATTGGTCTGAGATCGTAGTGATAATGATACTGATTATGACAAGTACATAATCACAATCACAAGAATAGAATTGTCTTAAACAAGAATGAATCAACTAATATAGTAAAATGCAATCATCAAATAGTGTACAGTAAAACAGCACTAGCAATAATTAGTAATAAGATGTAATAATAATAGTAATAATAATAGTAATAATAATAGTAATTAATCCTCACATATCTTCACCATGGCCATCTAATGATAATAATTCTCAAGATTCATCAAGTCCACCACACCCCAAAACGCGCCTCTGCCGCCGAGCAGTTGCTCCAGAACGGCGCCTGCAGAAACGCTGGACACGCAGGAATCTCGCCATGCTTCACCCTCATCTTAGATTCATCTTCCAAGTCAGCATCCAGATTGATCAGATTGGTGTTTTGATTTTTTTGAAAAACGCAGGAAGTGACCAGATCGCTGGAGGATCAAAATTGACGTTGGAGAAAGCTATTTTGGACCACACATCCACCGACCACGATCCCCACCTCATTCAAAGCGCACCAGCGGCTTGCCCCGGACGCCGTGGGCTGATTTTACAACACAAAAACCGAAGAACCCCCAAGAGTACTCGAGGGCATTTCCTGCTTTGGGCCCTTTCTGAATGTCTTGGGAAATGTGTGGCATACTTGTGTATTTCCAATTTCGCAGTTCATGTCTTGAGCAAGAATATTGCTTGCAACGAGCTGCAGCGCACAAAGGAAGCAAAAGCATGCAAAAGCTGGACTCCGACACTGACAACTGTCAAAAGCTAAATGTTGCTTTCAAAAGCTCCGAAGGCTTGCAATTTATGGAGACAACTCCGTGCTTTGGGGAGATGCATTATGATGCGCCCTGCAGAATTACCAAATCAGCTTTGCCAGGGCAGCAAAGCCACCTGCACATCTGGCCGTCTTCGCTCGCCTGATCATGGTAAGAGCACGAAACAGACAGAACTCTCATTGTTGCTGCAACACAGCCACAGATTGCTTGCGAAAAAAAGCAGGGGCTAAAAAGAAAAAAGTATCTTCTTGGGCAAGGATCATGTAAAGCAATGTAAAGGATCTACAGTCCAATCGAGTCTAACCCTTGATGCAGCCCTGACAAGCTCCACCTTGACTGCTGTGCGAAGAGTAGAGTCAAAGCGCTCGCCTCAGTCGCAAGGCTGGTCGGGCCAGGCAAGTGAAGCAAGGTGAAAGAATTGCATCGCATTCATCATGATTCAACGGCTTGCTTTTAGGGAGGCATTGCCCATGATGGCCGATGCTAAACTTTCTGCTACCTGACACAGCAACCCGGAAATAGACTTTTGAGATAGGAATGGAACAAGGGCATATGTACTGGGTTTTGTCGCAGCAGCCAGCAGATCGGCAGAAGGCAATGGGGCTCGGAGGGTTCTGACCGATCTACTCCATCTGTCACTCTCTATTTATTCAATAAATCCATCCCAAATTCATGGAAGTCATACCCCAGGACCGAAAACAAAACGAGAGAACAATGAACCACCTCTGCTGCAGCTCAGCGGCTGCCAAGCACTCATGGCCGGAAAAGAAGGACCTTCGCAAAGTTTCAACGACAAGCAGGGGTGGCTTGTGAAGTGTCGTTATGATCACACATCCTTTGGTCAAAAAATTGGCCCAGAATGCCCAATTAAAATTTATTCCGCTCGTGCCATTGGCAGCACGTTTTCAGGTCAAGGGGACAAGCAAGCGCCGGATGGGGTTTCGAAACTGAGAGGAGGACTCATGTTGGGTCGACCCGGCCACAAACAAGGGCAAAAAATCGAGCTACGGGGTAGAAGCAGCCCATTGGATCATGTTTGAATGACAAAATGAACCTGATGTCGTCTCAGTCTCTTGTCCAATAATTCGTAGACATAGTCAAAAACAGGGGAATATCGTTGGCTGTGATATCGATGTACATGAGAAGTGTCTCTCCCGCACCTTCGAGTAGGCATGCCCGACGTGGGATGCCTTGCCCAGTGCGAAGACATAATCCATACCAAGAGAATCCGAAACCCCAAAAAAGACAGGGTCTCTATGGAAAGCCGTGTTTTCCATTGAAAACCTAGGTTTTGTGGAATTACAGGATTTTGACAAATCCCAAAAAATTGACAATCTCACATGTTTCCATCGATACATTACCATCCTCCAACCACACCACCAGTCACGCATCATTTTGCATTGCTTACTTGATGTAACCCGCTTCCTGCCAATCAGCATACGCGATCTGCAGTGATCGTTGAAGAACTCTTTTGATTACCTGAGTAGGCGCCACGCGGCGCGCTACTCTGCTCTTCTTCCCGATGAAATCCTCATCGATCTGTACTCCGAAAGTCAAAGGGTTCAGGCTGGCAACATGAGCCTTGGCAAGACCCATCATTATATGGTGCACGATGTGGCACTTGGGAAGGTAAGCGAAAAGGGCTTTGGACTGAGAAAAAGCTTCCAACGCCAGCCGTTGATACAGACACAGAAATTGCATTCCAATGCCACCGATGCGATGGCAAGCAGAAACTTCAAGCCACAGGTCACTGGCGTACATTTCGTGAAAACAGCGGTTGAGAACCACAACTGCTTCGGCACACATGGATAAAATGAGATCATCCGCAACATTGTTTTTGGAGAACCAGCTTTCCAAGAAACGAAGTAACGTGGTCGTGCCATGGCCTTTATGCCATTGGCCATTAGGGAAGGTCTTCCGATCAGGCCATTCGCAAGATTCCTTGGTAATTGCAGTGATATATGCTGGCTCGCGAGACTCGTCACAGAATTGTAAATATAAGTCTGTCAACTCTAAAAACCTAGCATCCACTGTGCTCGCTCCAAAGCGATCCGAAATACAAGCCAGCACTGCTGCCACAAACGACTTTCCTAAGCCGAGGTGAAAAGCGTGCCAGACATCGTAGGCAAAGAATCCTGCAGCCCGGGCTGGGTCGTGAGGCAAACTCAATAAAATTGGTTTAGACTTCCATGGCTCGTCTCCGGGTGTGAATAAAGTACCCAGCCATGCGGGATCAGAGCTCAAATTCTCAAAGTCAAACCCAGGGCGGCCTGCCAAGCAAAGGTGGCAAATGCCCTTTGGCCGCGAGCCAGCGACCAAAGGTTTCTTGGGCACGTTTGAAAATGACCTTTCCAGGTTACCGGCTTTTGCAAGCCACATCCAGTCACCCACTGCATTGATGCAGGCAGCATGGTATCGCTGACCATCAGCATCCAAAACTCCATGCTCAAGCATGCGCCAGCAATCGCCCGTCGTATAAGTCAGAAGATCCTGAAGCGCGGCTTCATCTTTGCTCATTTTGGGCAGGCACCCAGAAATCATTCTGCTTGTGTTCGTTGAGCCGCAGTAGTTAAGTTTCATGCTCAAATACTTTCTTCTTTTCCTTTCGCTGTTGGCCAAGTTGGTTCCAAAGCCTAAAACTGAATGGAAGGATGTGACGAGAAATGGAGATTTCTTTCTCCCTCGCCCCTCGTCTCCATGCATCAAAACTGGAAGGAGTCGACCCTCATCGATGGCATACTTCTGAATGGCGTCAAACAGTTGATGCTGCGGATGGGCTATCCGATAAAGTCTCCAAAACTCACGAAGAATTGCCCTTTCTCTTTTGCCATCTGCGTTGTGGAGGCCAAGAAGCACATGCCATAAGCCATGGCTGACTATATATTGAATCCAATCCCGCAAAGCGATCACATGGAATGTCCCTGTGTACCGCACTCCAGGGGATTTCTGCAGTTCAGTGATTGGAATGCGGAGCGAAAGATTGAATTTTCTTGTTAATCTTTCAACATCCCTTTCGCTAGTAGTTTCATGACAACGGCTCAACTCTGTGAGCCCACGGCTTTTTGCCGCGACATCCTCTCCAAGATCGCTCACAATGCCTTTCGCTGCTCTGATTGCAGCTCTGCAGCTTGAGACCTTGGAACGGCGGGAAAAATTGGAATCATTGGAAAAAGTACAAATATATAGGGGTCGAGGTGTTGGTGGTATACGTTGGAAACCCAGTCTGATCGAGAACAAAGTCCCATGCAGCCAATTCATGGTGTCATGCTATGACAGCGATATCCCAGTCACTGCTGCAATGCGCTGCAATGCTGCAATTTTACTCCGGAACGATTTTTGCTTACGGATGCCGAAAGCTTAGCTGGCTCTTGCCGCTGCTTTCCATAGAGACCCTGTTTTTTGGGGTTTCGGAATCTCCTGGATATATATTATATACAAAAGTGAAGGGATACCCTTCACAACGGTCACGGAGGCTTGAATTTGAATGACCTGTGCACCAAATAACACATAGAGACACCGTCCACTTCCTCTGTGTTCACGGTGTCCCCCCCCAATCGCATGTTTTTGCATCCACGCTTACCTGGGACGGGAGAGGCAAACGCAGGGTTTCCGCCAACGACCGCGGCAAGCGTTTTCCGCTAAATCTTTGCATGGTGCAGCAATGTCAAAAACTTTGGCCCCTGGCTAGCCCCAAATATATATTCACCCATATAGGATATATACCAAGAAGTATATATATATATGTATATATTCAAAATCACATCCAAAGTTTTTGCCATTGCTGATTCAAGATGTGGTCATTGCAACATCAACATCGAATGCAGGCTAGATGCATTTGAAATATAAGATGAGTGCTGCTTCCAGCATCGATGTAGAATATGGTTCATGTGAAATGTGCAAGATAGTCATGTTCGACCATTTCTCTTTTGCACGGCAGTAACCATAAAGGTCATTTTTCCATCTCCAACATGGGTCATGTGTCCATCCAATTTTGAATATAACTGGATCCCATTTGTTGTATATCCGCTCAACTGTTTTGACACAGTGTTCCAACACACGTCCGGCACAAAGATTGGGCCGTGGTAGATCAAAAGCTATGCATGGCATGGCGGCAGATTCATCGGCAATGTTGAGAAGGCGCTTATTCCCTTGAAGTTCAAGTGGTAGATGTGCCAACCATTCCGGGACTGAAGGGGCGACGGGAGGACAGAGTGATGACGACAGGCCTCCCAAACCTTGCCCATTTCCGGCCGCCAGGCCGTCACCAGTGGCTGTCCCAGACCGTCCCCGCCCTAGCGGCACTGGCCACGGGAAAGGTCCTTCCGATTCCTTGATGGCTGACTGGGAAACGGATGACAGGAGATGACCTTCACATCTTATAAATAATTTGTTATATATATACCCTGCCATCAATGGAGACATATAATCGACCCGTGGGTGGGATCATGGGGGAAACATGACCGTACACTCCCTTAAGACATGTTTATACTTGATCGCAATGACAATTGGTAACAACATGTTTCCATTCCATCGATCATTATTCAATTAATTGGGTATATGTTTTGTAGGTTCCTACAATCTAGATAGTATTCCATATACATATCAACTTTGTATTTTTGGCCAAGGGTCACTGCGGTGACAACAAAGCAAATCCAGCAGCTCTTCATCTGGAGTTTCATCAACATCCATGGCTTGGCCATGTGTGGCAACGGTAAATGCCAGAGCTCTATTATATAGTATAGTATATATACGAATAGAAATGCATTGCTTATATTCATATACATGGGGTAGCCCTCAAAACGAAATGTAATCCATTGATTAGTATATATACGGGGCACGTATTATTCAACACATGCCCATGAAATTGATTTGGTTCAACATATATATATATATACCTGGGAAAATGATATCGTTCTGATTGGCTGCAAGCTCCATCCATTGACCCCAAATGGCGAGCTTGTAGGCCGAATCGAAGTCATTGTCTTGGGTGATCCATGCACTGCACTCCCGATGCCTTTGAGGCCAGAACACCTTGGCCGATGTCTTTGCTGAATGCTTTCACGGCATTGCCAGCACCTGGCCAGAACAGACGGGCGGTTGTTGGACCTATACTATTTCGTCTATATATATACATACACGGTGTTGGGGCCTGGCAAGAAAGATATAGCAGGGTGTTGGCACTGCGGCACTATGCATCCAGCAAGATTGAAACCATTTTTCCGCTCGATCGATGTTGGTTTCAAATCCCAAATGCGAAGCATTGTTTCTGTAGACATCGCATCCAGTCAGCCCGCAGATGAAATGCCAAAAACAAATTCACATTAATTCACAGAATGTACTGTGCCCAAAACATATATAGGTGGATGGGTCTTGGATGGGCGACCAAACACGGACATGGATGAGTCCAGAATTCAACAAGTCCCGCAGGTGCTATCCTGTTTCATGTCGGTCGCAGGTGACCTGCAGGTTCCCTCAGGTGACACAAATTTGTTGGGAGTTCCAACAAAAAATGATTGCTCTATATATCGGCAATCCATCCCAAAGATCAAAAAATGATCAGCTCGAGTCAAAACATCACTTGTTTTTCTTGGACTTCTTCGACTTGGGAACTTCGGCGACTGCGCTCTCATCCGGTTCGCCCTTTCGTTTTTTGGTCTTCACAGATTTCGAGTCACGTTTGTCTGTCTTATCTTTCTTCTCCTTTTTCACAGGTGGGGATCCGGGCAAATCAGCGTCCTTCTTCTCATACCGTTTCGCATTCCTGGAAAAGATTGCAAGTATATAAGTAGGACACTGGGCATGGCGCTGATGCGCTGAGGTAAGGACCTCGTCTTTGCTTCCGCTGCGCAGGCCGTTGAGCACCTGGGCCATTGTGGGCATGTGTCAACAATTTTCAACCTGAACGAAATCATGTCAGGTTGACATGAAGATGCAATCAATGTATATATTGTATAAATATGTATACGCATGAAGAGTGGTACAAATTGCCATGAGGCCCACACGTGTATGTCGCATTGTTCATGGCAGTCGTGGCTTGGGTCACGAACCTCATCCGCATGATTTCATAGATGGGTGGAATCAAGGACTCCATTTTTATGATAAGTGCATACATTGAATCCCATGCAGGTGCAACTGAATGTGATCTGTTGGTAAAGTATATATATATAATTATATATATATATTGACTATATTTTTCTCAGTCCGTCACTCCGGCCCAAATCCATTCACCTCACCCTTGGCCATCACATTGTTGCAGACATCGTACTGGCCATCAAGTTTCTGGAGTTCGTCCTCCAGCTGGCGCTTGGACCTCAAGCGGCCGAGGGGTGGATCTATAATTCGGCGAAGGGCCAAAGCAAACTGTTCTCAACATGTTTGCAAAGAGGTGGAAAGTCTCGAGCGATTGAGAAGAAGACTTCTGCAGGACATCACTTTTTGAGTAGACATCGGCGATCTCCCGCACCAAAGACCTGATTTTGCCTGACTTCTGAATCATCGACTCCAAGAACTTCCGCAGCTTCTTCTTGGTCTGGTCAAGGATTTCCGGTAACAAATGTGACCAGGGATGGTATGGTATATTTTTGGTATCATAAGTTTGCTATGTTGTGGGATAATCTTGAAATATCTTGAAATTTGGTACTAAACTCAGGGAACCAGAAAACCAACCATCTAAATTCCATATCCCGTATATATACCCATCGATGTACCCAGATATCTATTTAACCAATATCAACATATGCCACCATATGCCCAAATGCAGGCAATGATATATATGGTCAACCAGGCCTCATCGGCTTGGCTGCTTGTAGAATCTGCTGGTTCTGCAGCCTCTGCAGCATGTCGGTCCTCCATCGCTTTGAGGCCGGCAAGTGCATTGGCCGACAGGTTCGGCTCCTCAGAAGCCTCCGGATGGCAAGAGTGGTTAACAAGAACCTCTCATGGAGTAAGAGGCATTTACTCGATTTTACTTTGAGACCAAACAGGGAAAACCAAACATGGATATAGACCATAAAGTTTGGCCATGATGTTTTTGATGGATCAACCAATGTTGAACCGACCAAGGCACCCATACACTTCATTAACTTGTTTACTTACCCCGCCTCCAAGGCTTTCCTTTTGCTCCGTGTCTCCTCTTCAACATGTTCCTGTTCCCGCTGTCCTTTCTCCTTGACAACGACGTAGTACTCCTCTACGCCATCGTAAAGGTTTTTCCTGCCAGACGGTTGACCAAGGGAAGGGACGGATATAAATGGTTCGAAGGAGAGAGAGGGAGAGAGAGTATATAGTTACGCAGAATAAAGTATATATGGACAATGTATATAAAAGGATTATATATAGCTGATGCAACATCCATTGCATGGAAATGCATCCATGGAATTGAGATCTCCTTATGTGGGTCGCAGATCTCTTCATGCACAAAGCCTTTGCACCGTTGATCTTCGCCCTTGGAACAACAGGTAAACATTACACACTTCACTGTGGTCATATGGGTGTACCCAAGAACCCAATAGATTCAAGAATGCACATCTGATTTTATATGAGTTGGGTGTTGTAACAAACCCCTTTGAGATAAGCACGTAGACCATCCATAGTCATCCTTCATTTCTTTCTCAGACAGCCATTCCTCATCAATGGTCACCTTTTGGGATGACCGGCGTTTGACCACAATCTCCAGCGAAGCGATAAACTGTGCCTGTGCACGCATGTAGGAATATGTACCCCATGCACACACACACACATTGCTGATTGCATGACAAAACTGCACATGTAACCTACATGGGATGACCGGCCTTATCAAAGTTGCAATTCACCAGGAGAGCTGCTGTTTCATTTTGGGGTCGGCTTTTGTATTCAGAAACAACCCATTCCGGAACGTTCAGATCTTTACGTGTCTTTTTCGGTTTGCACATCCTTCGGATCTGGGCTTTGGCAGCATCGCGTAGCAATTCCTGACAGGAAAGGCCATTGCAAAACCATACCAACCCCATTATATAAACACCATCAAGTTGATGTTTCCATTGGTTGTGTAAATTCGTAACTCACGTATATTATATACATGCAATGATCATGTAAAAAATATAAGTCAAGTCAAGTCATATATATATAGTAAATATATGCTGACCTGTTATATATAGAGAATGGTATGGCTTCCCATGTGAGATTCAGGTTGGATCAATGGGTGCTCCTGGCGAGTCTTCCCACGAGGCTTGGCGGTCCGATTTGGTGTAGGAATGGGCCGGACGGAGGCACCCTGATCCTGCGCGGCAAAAGTGTGCAGTGATCATCATGCATGACCAACTTCGGAAGTTTCCCCAAAAAAATAACCCCATATTAACTTCATTTGATGACTATGTTATATATATATATAGTTGAATGCAAAAACATATGGTCCTTGTGGCTCTCAACTTCAGATGCTTTTTGATCTCCATCTGTAGACTTTGGTTGTTCACCCAACGTGGACTTCGGGGTGGCTTCAGCGGGACTAGGAGTCACTTCTACACGGCTGGGAGCTGCAGATGGAGTAGCCGGTTCAGTGGGACTAGGAGTAACTGCTACAGGGGTGGGAGCTGCAGATGGAGTAGCCGGTTCCAAACCACCAGGAGCAAGTGCTTCTTGAACTTGGGTAGCAGTAGCCTGATCGACCAAGTCAATTCCCCTATCATATATAAAATCAAAGATATAAGTTGCATTGTTCCTCAACTGATTCATTCTATATACACACATAAACATAAAAAGCCTTTAAACTTGTGAGCCATTTGGAAGTTTGAATGCAACATCAAAATCATATATATATCCGAACTCGATCACCCATTAAATACCGTAGGTCACGTCATAACACATCTATATATTTATACATGCACCCTCCCCATGCAATATATATATATATATACCATGCGCACTGGCGTCTGCAGGCCTCTAGGGTCTCGGCGGTCGCAATGTCCGGTGCCAAAGTTGGCTCGGTCGGCACCTGGGGAGTCAGCACGGAAGGGGTTGTAGGGTGGGGCATGCATAAAACAGGATCCAACCCATTCCATCCAGTGTCCAATGTGTAAATATATGATTGAGTTTTGCACTGGGGCTGGCGGTGCGCTGCCAAGTGCCAACTGCTTCTTTTCCAGGTCCTGCCCATATACAATGGATATATACCGGGCATCCCAAAATTAATCGATATAAGGCAATGCAGGCCCGGGTGCTACAAATATATTTAAGGATGCGCATTCTGACATTAAACAATTTTAATAACACTGTCCTTGATCATGATCTCTAGTAGATTCTCTTCCTCATCGGCGGCATCGACCTCTGACATCAAGTGGGTGATGCCATCCTTTAGGGTATCGCAACTCCAAAGCCGGGAGCTCTCCATGGCTGAATCTGGCTGTCGAGACATGGTGAGACCTAAAAGTCTACCTATAGGTATGGTTCCAACCCACCAAGTGATCTCTAGAATGCAGCAGGGGACGGATAACAAGGTCTGGTGAATTTGGTGCAATCAAACATCATTGCCACAACAAGAAAATTTATGTTTGAATGATCCGTGGCAATCGGTGGCAACATTTTGCCATATCATTGCACGTCAAAGTCGGTCCGGGCCCGTAAACGAGGCCAAATTACACATAATTACCACCTTGGCCGTGAAGTGGAAAACCCATCTTTTTTTTACGGGTTCCTACGGGTTTTTTACGGGTTCCCTACGGGTTACCTACGGGTTAAATACGGGTTCTAGAAAGTGGGGTTCTGATTGGAATGACAGAAATACGGGTTCCCTACGGGTTAAATACGGGTTTTCATAGTAGAAAACCGGGTTTTCCTGTCGGAACCTATCTTTTTTTTCCGCAATTTAAAAAAAAACAGAAATTGCATTAAAACCACCACCTTAACTTTTTATTTGGTTACAATCTGGGTCCCCGACGTTCCAAATCAAACAATTCGGTGAAATGTGATCAAGTATGTTTGAAGGTTTTCTTATTCTGGTTTCACGGTCAAAGCAAAGGCTTTGGAACCAAATGCGACCATTGATTTGGGATGATCAGGTCTTTTCCCTGACGGAGATAATTGAATACGTTAATTACCTGGGCATAGTCTAGGGCGCCGATTTCATCTGGCATTCCCTCATACGACTCGGTGGCTTTCGGAGTCACTTTGGGCACAGGTGTTTTTCCCAACGCTGACGACACAAGATCGGAATAGAGATCAACAATCTTGAAGCCAAACCGTACAGGATATTGCCTCAGATGCACGAGGTTCCCATGTAATGTTCCAACCATATATATGAACCCCAAAAACTGTACTTAACCATACATGATTGTCTTCATATATCCCAAAATGAACCATCATGAACCATGCGATTTTATAAATCATGATTTTGATTTTATATAACATCTTAAAAATTATATTGGCTCCTCAAAGCACATCCCAACCCCGAAAATAAAAGTTACCACATGGCTTGAAAGGTGGTACCCCCACAACATGTCTCCCCACAACGCATCTTCCGATCTCAAAACCCAAAAGCATAAACGACGATCTACCCCAAAACAAACTTGGTGATTTGTTGGCTTGAGCTGAGCAGCTCTGACTTGCGAAGGTTACTGTTTCCAGTATAGCAGGTCTCTCCCTTTTTGTTTTTATAGGTCTTGCAGGTTTTCACCTTCAGGGGCCCCTCATACGGTTGCTTTGCACGCCGCCCCAGAAGCGGACCAAGGCAGAGGCGTGACAAATGGGGACTGTTGCCCCAAGCGTAGTGCGGCTTGGCACTCAAGCCTCCGTAGTGGGCCATGTACCACTTGGCACGGAATACCTGGAGGCGAGAGGAAAGGTATATATGATATATTATGTATACAGGGTATATTAAGGGGATTTAAGGGGTATATATATATATGTGATAGACTGGGTGCATGGACAAAGATGGTATGCATTGGTAAATTCAGTGACCCTGGCCATACAAATGGAAGTCCAATATTCAATTTCTCATGGGTCATCCAAGATTACCCAGAAAGTATTGGGGGCCAAAGCAACATATAGTTCTACATACGGGTCCAACCCATTCCTGAACCATGACACGCAAAGGCATTTGAATTTGGTTGCATGCGACTGAAATGAAAGCAACACATTAACTCTGCTATAGCCATTGAAGACTAGGCACTGCAGTCCCACGGTTGGCTTCGAATATTTGGGCAAGTAGGGATTGGAACGGTGGAAAGTATTCCAGAACTGATTGCTCGGGCTGTTCCACAAACCATGCTCCACCCAGGGCCGTCACCACAATCAGGAGTAAACATAGCCTCAATCACAAATCACTTTATCAACATACAAACCCCATGATCAATCCCACAAACATATTTTCTTATATATCCCCATCAAGAAACCGGCCAGCCATGGTGTTGCTGGTGTACACGGATTCGTACTCCTCATACCCAATTGAAGTACATGGTGTTCGAAAGCTGGTCCCGCGGTTTACCGCGGACCAAGACGAACACTTGATCGCAAACGTTGCAAGGAACTCTTCCGCGGAGCACAGCAAAGAATGCAGGCACAGCCTTGGGAAGGAACGCGGACGGGATACCATAGTGACCAATGCTGGGGGTAGCCACATATCAAGAAAGACTGCATGGGGATATAAACATTGTGTTGTCGAATGGCAACCGGTTTAAAAAAACACTTGCCATGTAGGGAGATCATCTGATTTTGAGACATCCCCATATATAGGCAACCAAGAGATACCACCATATAGACTAAGGTTGAACAGTCGATCTCTATATATATATATGGTTTCCTCATAATACCCCAATATCGTTTCAAGTTTTTACGATCGAATTTATATGCAGAGGTTTGGGACCTTTATTGAAATTGAGAGGCGTCCACCCCACCCCACACGTAGGAACTGAACTCATGGGGTTTATATCAATGAACGGACCATCATGTCGTTAAAACCACATGATGACAATACACAAATCTTTGGCGTCATTTGAATGGACAAAAGACGCAAAACCGGAGTCTGACAGGATGTCCATGCTGTTGGAACCATATGAGCGACCAGGTTTCTGAGCATCGAAAAGGATATCAAACGATGCCGTTGTCAGCCCACTGGCCCTGGCGCACTTGCTCAGGTTGGCGTTCCGCGCGAAAAACTCGAAGAGCTGGTATTCCTGCACAAGGCCACGGCAGATATCGGGTATATAGAAAATGTTGGGCACTGGCACTTGATCAATTTATCAATTTGACATGTGACTTGAATCGGGGATTTTTTTTATCTTCAAAAAAAACGTTCATGATCCCATCGTTGTTCCTCGCCTGGTTGCACTTGAAAGTTGGTGTCCATATGATCATGAGGATACAAAGGGCCAGCACCTCATCGGATTTTGGCTGGTTCAACCCTGGACCAAAAACAACCACGGATATATCATTTATCTTCGCAAGTGGCAAATTGCTGTCAACATATAAAGATAAAACGTTGGGTCCCCAACCTTTGGACACTTGAGCATCTTGAGCTGGAAGAACAACTCGTCCAGTTGCGGGCTATCAGCTGGGTATCTACAAGGCATTCCCTCCAACCCCAGTCACCACTGGTCAGGCTCAACCCCAAAGTTCGAGCTTTCAAAGGCGTCTGGGGCCAAACGGCGTTGTGGCTTGCAACATGGCATGGCACAATGATCGAGAACTCAGATTCCATTTTCGACATTCCGGTCAAATGAAGATGTTGCATGTTGATTCTTCCATGGTCGCCCTACATGAACTGATCCTTTTGAGAACCTTGATGAATACCAACATATGGATAAGAGGCTTTAAAACCAAAGTTGTTGTCCAAAACCATAAACAAAGGACACTCGCTAAAATTGAGTTGTACATACGGCCTCTTAGCCTATGTTGGTATACATGTCGCAACCAGCTCTGCATTCTATAACATAGCCAGCCC